GACAACCCCGTAACAATATGCGTTTTGTACTGCTGTTACACAGCACAAAACGCATAAAAATGGATTGTTTGTAGCAATTAATGCCTTCAGTGAAAAGGGAAGTAAAGAATGGGGGAAAAATAAGCAATCAGTAGCGCTCAAAGCATTTTAAATCAGCAACCTTAGCGGTACTGGTGAAGTTGTCGGCGAGGTGCGGCACCTCAGTGCTGCTGCTGCTGGAACCGGGCTGCTGCTCGTCGTCTTGCACATCCGTACTATCATCTCTCTCCTCTTTCACCGAGCGTCTTTTCGCATTCCCCTAAAATAGCGCGTAATTGAAGCAAACAGGTGATCTTATGCTACAAAAGAAATATGACCCATGCACCACCGATTTCGACATTCTGCAACCGTCATCGATTCATCACGGGCTATTGGTAACAGCAGAATAAACTTAAACAGAATGACGCTTCTTCCGGAAAAATGGGGCAGAGAAAAGGTCACCAGGAATTCCAGTCATCTGACCACCAGTTAACGCAGCTTTAGTCGCGGAAAGACTGACATTTGTTTCGGTGCTGGGAAGCGGTGTGCTACAATGAAATGCGTTTGATTAGAGTAAGACGAACGTAGTCACTATTCTGCGCATGATTTCGTTTCCTCTTCCCATTCCTCTGCTGCTTCATTTCGCCATCAAGCGGTGAGCTCATTGCTTTTTTGTCCGTCTCCACAGAAGGACCTCGCCTCTCCTTCTTATTCGCTCGCGTCCTTACTCCTTGCTCCTGGAAATTAGTTTTAAACGAGTCAGCTGAATCCACAGTTGTCCTGATTTTCAAAAAAAAAAAATGGCTTTCTTTTGGGTGCAGAACAGGAATACGAAATAATGAATAATTTTTTGAAAAATGTGGTCTACAAAAGCGCGACATGGAGGAAGAAGGTATCACTGAGAAAATGACGAGGAATATGTGTAGAATTGTAAATTTGATTGCACACAATAGCGAATATCATTTTTTTTCAGTTCATGAAGGTGAGAGAGCGCCAAACAATCGTTCTTGAATACAGTGAATGTACTTTTCATTTCTCCAGCTACACACGTCGACTACACTTTCTGAGTATTTGTGGAAAAGGGAGGTGGGCGGTCTCATTCTTGAAACGATAAAGTGACGCACTCACGCTTTCCC